GGTACTGCACTCAGGTGGCTCGAGTCCTACCTCTCCGACAGATCCCACTTCATCTCCCTCAACAACCACTCCTCTGCCACAGCTTCAGTCACCCAAGGTGTTCCCCAAGGTTCAGTACTCAGCCTCCTCCTCTTCATCATCTACATCCTCCCCCTTGGTCAGATTCTCCGCCAATACAACCTGGACTTTCACTGTTACGCTGACGACACACAGATTTACCTCAGCACCAAATCCCCCCACAACCCTCCCCCCCCCCTCACCCACATCAAATCCTGTGTGACTGCAATACAATCCTGGATGCAACACAACTTCCTCAAACTCAACAGCAATAAAACTGAACTCCTCCTCATCGGCTCCAAATCCACCCTCAGCAAAAACCCCAACCTGACAATCACCATTGATGGCACCCCTGTTTCCCCCTCCACACAGGCACGCAACCTTGGCGTTATATTTGACCCCACCCTCTCCCTCGAGCCCCACATCCGTCAAGTTGTAAAAACCTCATTTCTCCACCTCCGCAATATTGCCAAACTCCGTCCCTCTCTCACCCGCCCTGCAGCTGAGCGACTCATTCACGCCTTCATCTCCTCCCGCCTTGACTATTGCAACTCCCTCCTCCACGGCATCAGCTCCACCTCCCTCAGTAGACTCCAGCGTGTCCAGAGCGCAGCCGCCAGACTCCTCACCCACACCCAATCATGGCATCACCCCGGTCCTCAAAGAACTCCACTGGCCCCCCGTTTCTCACCGCATCCACTACAAACTCCTGGTCCTCACTTTCAAAGCCCTCCACCATCTGGCCCCCCCCCCTACCTCACTGACCTCCTCATCCTCTACCATCCACCCCGGACCCTCAGATCCACCTCAGCCGGTTTGCTTTCCATCCCCAAGGCCAAACACCAGAGCTTCGGGGATAGAGCCTTCTCTGTGGCAGCCCCGAAGCTCTGGAACTCCCTCCCCCAAGACCTCCGTGAGTCTGAGTCCCTCACCCTGTTCCAGTCCCGTCTCAAAAGTCACCTCTTCAACTCTGTATCCATAAGCCCCCCCCCCCTCAACCAACTTCCTCCTGACTGCTTTTCTGTTTTGTTTAGTTTCTTTTTGTTTTTGTTTTGTTTGTCTACCCTCCCTCCCAAATGTAACGTCTTTGGGTTCAAGAAAAGCGCTATAGAAATAAAATGTATTATTATTATTATGCCGGTGCACCGATGCGAATCGGTGAATCTTAAAATCCCTAATACCTAGGTATACACCCTGTGTCCACCTAATGTCAATTCAAACACCATGACACAATTCCATCAGATTAATGATAAAAACCGAGAGGACACAAACCACACTGAGACTGCTCTTGTAAAGGTCTTGAATGACATCCACTTAAAGGTGGGGGAGGTCATTCACTTCAGAAACACTTTTTGTTATATTCCATGGAATGCTCTCAACATCCCGATAGCAATGAATATCTGAAGTGCTTTGAAGCATGTCATCTGTGGAAGCCGTGGCGCTGTAAAAAGCTCGACCAATCATCTGAGCCAGCTAAAGTAACTGGATGGCCTACCTGCCTGTCAGCCCTCCATCTGTGCACAAGCTGATCTCGTGCCCTCATTGGTCATGAGCGCGTTCGTGTGTGTTGGAGGAGGGGCTCTGTGAGGAAGTGGCAGATTTGTTCCGGTTGAGTATTTTCAAATTCTAGCCACTCGAGCCGGTTTCTCCAAAATGACCTACCCCACCTTTAAGGTACTTTTTTAAAACATATTTGACTGTTACATAAACCATTGTCTACGCTTTTTGTTTTCGTTGTGCTAAATATATTCTCTTTTTTTAAATTTTTTCAACATTTTCTGAAATGAATTGAAAATGTTTAAATGCTTATTAAAAACACGTTAACAATGTTACAAATTATAAATAACTGACACGAAATGTATATGTACTGTTTCTGGTTTTGAACATACAGCCATCATGTGGTGTCCTTTTCCTCAACCAAGGCTGGAAAAGCTTTTGTCTTTTTATTCTATAACTAACGTGTTTTTTTATTTGTCTCTATATGTAATAAGTTAGCCTCGTCTTTGTTTGCACATTGTACACGAAGACCCCTTCTTGAATATGTGCAAGGCTTTCCTCGGCATTCCAATACTGCACATTTTGTATTTTATTTTAACGAATAGTTCATTATACTGTGCGTATTCATATTATTTTTGAGTATATCTATATTACATATAGATATTGCTTAATGTTGTAATAGTTTTCTTATTGTTTTCTTATTTGGTCCTTTTATTAGAATTTAAATGATTTAATAATAATAACTGAAATGCAGATAGTGCCTTTCATAAACCCAAGGACACTTCTACAGTAAACAAAGAAATAAAAAGGGAGAAAGACAAAATGAAAATATACATTAATGGGAAAAAGGGATAAATAAATACAAACATCGATAAATAAAGTGATAATTAGATGAATATATTGGACTTAAAGCAAATATCAATAACTATTCAAATCTATAATAATAATACCTATTAATAAATAATAAAAGGGGAAAACGATAAACGAAAATATAAATGACTAAATAATCAGAATACTCTATGTATATATATTTTAATACTCGTTCTATTATTTGTTGCTAGTAAACCAAGAGCAAGCTTAAAAACCTAATGCAAAGTGATTGTAAGTAATTATAAAACATTAAACAGTTTCTAATGAGGAGTCAAAGAGTCTCTTTGTGTCGACAACTTTAATGAGACACTGTCGAGCACCGAGTGCTCCTTACAAAGCTGACGTATTTCAATTTTTCGGGAGAGTCAATACAGTGAGTTGAGTCTTACTTATCGAACAGAAAACAGTGTGTTTTGGTCAACGGAGCCAAATCCCCCTCCCTTGTGAACCCTGTTGGGGTTCCACAAGGCTCCATTCTTGGACCATTACTGTTTTCTCTGTACATTAATGTCCTGATTTGAATGCACAAATGTATGCCGATGATGCGTCATCTTTGTACACCGGAAAAATACTGAAATGATCTCATCCTGTCTCTCTAATGCTTTGGACGAGGTTCAACACTGACTGAACAACATTTGCTTACAGTTAAATGCAAAAAAAAACAGTATGCATGATGTTCAGTAAACGACCAGTCAACATCGAAGGATCCAATGTGTTTTTAAACGGAGCAGAAATAGAACTGGTCTCCCAGTTCAAGTATCTTGGAGTCATTCTGGACTCAAACTTAACTTTTAAAGATTCCATGTCATGGCCATTTCTACTGATCAGAGTTCCATCGTTGAGGTCGACTATAATAGATTTATATTGTGCAATTTTCCAAACTCACATTGATTTCTCACAGCATCTCTGTAAAGTATGTGTATTCACTCTCTGTCCTAAACGGCTTGTTGGAGCTCCTGCCCCCCCCCCCCCCCCCCCCCCCTGTGAGCCCAGTGTGCTCTGATTGGTCGCGAAGCTGAGAGGCTCGTTGCTGCTCGCAGCTGTGTGAGCTGCTGCAGGAGCAGACAGGCTTCCGTGTCGGCGTCTCGGCGATACAGGAGAACAAGCGAAACTCATCCTGAGCACACAAACACTCACAGCCGAAGTAAAAACAATAAGTGTGGCTTGATATTGAGTAAGAAAAAGGTTTATAACGCTGTGGGTCTGCGGAGAGCATTTCTCCACCATCCCAACGTAGTAGCCCGAAAAACGTTTACCCATTCAAACAGTCGTGGTAGATACCTTGTTTGTTTTAAACATCATAAATACACAAACAACAATGAATACTTGCAGGTTGTGTACCCGAATCTCCCGCTGGTCCAAACAAAGTAGGAACAGCTTTGTTCTTCAGCGCCCTACGCTGAGCATATCCGGCATGAATGCTGAAAGGTTTGGGAAGCTTTGTTTTCGTGAAAGGCTGGCAGAGGGTGCGGACATAGCTCTGGGCGTGGCTACTGAGTATCCCGACGTAGCGATACCCAGGAAGAAAACATTGGAAAAATTAGAAATCTCCAACGAGGCGTTTTGGGGCAGCATAGACTGTTTTAGAGTTTTACTCGCTACAGGGTGTACTTTGAGGGTTTTTGACTCTGCAGACCGTTTACATGCAGAAAAACCTTCATAACACAAGGGGACGGGTCATAACCAGAAAAGCATGACATGGGACCTTTAAGAAACATTAAGAAAGTATTCAATACCATTAAGTTCAACTTGCAATTTTTTTTTACAAATGAGACCTTTCTTAACTGTCAATGCTGCAAAGACATACCTCCACTGTGTGATTCTATCCCACATTGAATACTGTTTGACTAACTGGTCGTTTGCTTGAGCCACAAACCTGAAACCCAGAGAACAGCTGTTCAAGAGAGCTATCAAGGTTTTTGACAGAAAGCTACATTCATACCACCACTGTACCATCCTGGAAAAACACTATTTCTTGAGTTTTGACAATTTTAAGTCTTTTAAAAGTATGTGTTTTTTTTATAAATGTTTACATGGACTGCCCCCCCCCCCCCCCTTAGGGGAGTTCATCCACAAAAAAAACACACTGGACGCTGCACTAGGTCAGAAACCAGAGGAGACTGTGAAGTCCACCGCAGACGGACAACTTTTGGACAAAATGTCCTCTCCATTTAAGGCAGCTCTTTGTGGAACAGCCTCCCAACTGAGATACGGGATTGTCGTTTTAGCGATTGAAACAACCAGACGTGCGATCACCGCTAAATGCACTTTAACATGGGGGTATCTCCTCTTGCACTTTATGCAGCTCTTGTGTCATCTCTTAAACTTGATATGTCGTTGCTGCTATATTGTACTGCCATGTGGTAAATACTCGTGTGTGCTGCTCTTGCTGTCTTGCATATCATGTATTTATTTTTTGCTATGTTTATAAATGTCACGTTCTTATAAATTGTATGCCAGAGCTAAAATCCGGCATATTTACACTTGAAGCATTATTTGTCTTAAGTGTTCATTAATGTGCATTGTCCCTATTCAAATAAACAATGAAATGAAATGAGAAGCTAGAAAGCAAGTTTTAAGTTTACAGCTCAGATTATTACAGCAGCAAGAATCACATTTACTGAGAACACAGAAAACTAACGGCCGTCACAATGAAGTCAAAGAATGAACATGAGATAATATTATAGCAGAGTTTCACTAACCAAACAAGAACGTCACAAATGTACTTCATCACTTCTCATACCAAACGTGTCTTAGTGTTTTGAACATCACTTGAAGTAATAAATAAAAAAGTACCAAAAAGGCAACTCAAACATTTCAATTGAACATAAACGTAGAATAAAAACTATTCAGTGAGCGTCACACACAGAAGCAAATACGGTGTGTGGCAACAAACATTCTGAACTTGATGCTCACTGAAATTGCATCTGCACACATAACAGATAATTGATTAGGAAGTATAATATATACAGACCAAAGATCAAGAGATGCTTCTATTTACAGATGTTCCCTAAACGTCTCATTCACAGGCTGCTGGTAGACAGATCATTGTTACGTTCAGCATCGCAGCAACAGTATACATTTGCTTTATATAAATCAAAAAACATTTGTATTAACCAGAGCACTCACATATAGAACTAAGTTAGTGAGGGCAGCCGGGTTTTGGGGAAGTCTGAATGTAGTCCATAAAAAACATGTTTATTGGAGCGTAAAGTCACTGTTGGTCAGCTTTACATTTGGAGAAAATCAGGGGGAATGCTAGCTTGACTCAGAAAAGGATCAGTTGGAGGCAGAGTGAGTGCGCTGGTGGGATCTAAGATTACCACCTTGAGAAAAGGTTTCCCCACACTCTTCACAGCTGTATGGTTTCTCTTCTTTGTGAATAAGATGATAGATCTTAAGATGACCTGATGTAGAGAAAGTTTCCCCACACTCTTAACAGTTGTATGGTTTCTCCACTGTGTGAATGCGTTGGTGGTATTCAAGGGTAATTTTTTGAGAAAATGTTTTCCCACACTCTTCACAGCTGTGTGGTTTCTCTCCTGTGTGAATACGATGATGGACTGTGAGATCACTTGATTGAGCAAACGTTTTCCCAAACTCTTCACAGTTGTATGGTTTCTCTCTTGTGTGAATGCGTTGGTGGTATTCAAGGGTAACCTTTTGAGAAAATGCTTTCCCACACACTTCACAGCTGTGTGGTTTCTCTCCTGTGTGGATACATTGGTGTGTTGAAAGGCCGCTTTTTTGAGAAAATGTTTTCCCATATTGGTCACGGCTCTGTGGTCTCTCTCCAGTGTGAATACGATAATGGACTTGAAGTCCACTTGGTGTCGTGAAATCTTTCCCACATTGGTCACAGCTGTGTTGTTTCTCTACTGTGTGGATACGCTGGTGTATTGAAAGGACGCTTTTTCGAGTAAATGTTTTCCCACATTGGTCACAGCTGTGTGGTTTCTCTCTTGTGTGGATGCGCTGGTGTGTTGAAAGGTTGCTTTTATGAGAAAATGTTTTCCCACATTGGTCACAGCTGTGTGGTTTCTCTCTTGTGTGGATGCGCTGGTGTGTTGAAAGGTTGCTTTTATGAGAAAATGTTTTCCCACATTGGTCACAGCTGTGTGGCTTCTCTCCAGTGTGACTACGATAATGGGCCTGAAGTCCACTTTGTGCAGTGAAAGCTTTCCCACATTGGTCACAGCTATGTGGTTTCTCTCCAGTGTGACTACGATAATGGGCCTGAAGTCCACTTTGTGCAGTGAAAGCTTTCCCACATTGGTCACAGCTGTGTGGTTTCTCTCCAGTGTGAATACGATAATGGACCCGAAGTCCACTTGGTGCAGTGAAAGCTTTCCCACATTGGTCACAGCTGTGTGGTTTCTCTCCTGTGTGGATGCGCTGGTGTATTGAAAGGCCGCTTTTTCGACTAAATGTTTTCCCACATTGGTCACAGCTGTGTCGTTTCTCTCCAGTGTTACTACGATAATGGGCCTGAAGTCCACTTGGTGCAGTGAAATCTTTCCCACATTGGTCACAGCTGTGTGGTCTCTCTCCAGTGTGAATACGATAATGGACCCGAAGTCCACTTGGTGCAGAGAAATCTTTCCCACATTGGTCACAGCTGAAATGTTTTGGTTCCTTTTTTCTTCTCTGTTTCTAAAAAAGACAGACAGATAAAGAGTCAGTGAGAAGCTGTGATGCAGATATATCTAAAAACTAAAATAAGAGTCTGTAAAATAAACCCCACAATATTCAAGTTTGATTTATCATTAAATAAAAGTACAGGTTTAAATACATACTGATATACACCTGAACATGAGCAGGAGAGGACTCTTTAAAGTAGAGACACTACATACTGTTATTACATGGCTTAGTTGAATACTCAATTCTGATTGGGCAATTCAGAACACATGACACGTTGTTAATCCTGTAGTACAGACCGCTGTCAAGGACTTATTGACCGTTGTTAAGGACGCTCACATCTGCAGAAAGAAGTCCGGTCGATTGAACTGTATACTTTTCAAACTGTTTGCTTGTCTTTAGTTTTCCATTGTCTTCCGAATGAGAACAACGTGGAGGATTTTAATATTAATTAAATAAATTTTAAAAAAAGACGAGAAGGACAAGAAAACAGCGGAGAAGTAACGGGGCAGAAACCCTCAACACGGAGCTGCAGTCCTTTTTACGCAACGATCCAGACATCAAACGACGACACATATTCAGTTAACAGTTACTTTGGCATTAGGGCAGGGATATCTCGATACTTTCCAAGGTTTGACATCATGAATTGTGCTACTTTTAAAGCAAGCAACGATGTTTTCAAATCTGAAATAAAAAAATTATCGAAGCAGTTCCTGCCGTTGCTACTGTTGTGAGTTTTCATAATATGTTTAATACTTAAAAACGAAAGTTAGTTATAATCAAATATAATCAATTATATTCTTGTATAACCCACAATGAAAATGCTTCATATTTTAGGTTTTCTATAGTTACAGTATAAACAAAACAAAGTGGGTTGTTTAGGTTGAGTTTTCTTCCTCTCCTCTGGCAGCAGTCCAGAGAGAGGGGGGGGGGGGGGGGGCTTCACACTAAGGGGAGAAACATTAAGAGGCCAAAGAGAGTTCATGTCCTTTTTACCTCATATGAAAGGGTGTCTTATCCCATAACAGCTGTGGAACATGTTGAGACATGTTTAGCCTTGTACATTAGTGCGCATGCGCAGTTTTCAACTGAATTGGGTGTAAGAGGAGGAGTTTGTTTTTTTGGGTTTAGGATCCAGTTTTTTTAGCATAAAGAGACTGGTTTTTTGAGAGAGCGCGAGAGAGGGGGGGTGACCCCTGGTAGACTCTCTCCCGGTAGGCTGTGTGCTTCAGAGCTGGGTTAATAGCTCTCGGTAAGGTCCTTCTAGACGGGGTAAATATCTCTCGAATTTATTGGTTGTTGGCTGAGTGGAATGATTTGATGAGAGAAAGTGTATGAACCTTTATAAATACCGCGACCTGTGGGGAAATCTGGTCCCCCGAATTTTGCGGAGAGGTATGGGTTTTTAAATGTTATATCCGCCGTCTGTGTCGGAAAAAACGGTATGAAACTGATGTGAATAAATGGGTGAATGGAAAGTTGAATGCGCTTTTTATTGTCACCGGTCTTTTTACGAGGAAATACCTCTAAATTCTATCGGGAGAATTTTAAAATGTCACAACTGAAATGGGCAGTTGAAATTAAAACATTTTGGTAATAAATGTAAGACTGTGAATTAAAGTTTCATTTGAACATGATCACAGCACGGTTTTTTTGTTAGTATGATTATAATGTTGTGAGAGAGAAGGAAAAAACCCTGTATTAGTTTGGACCTATTTTTCTTCAAATAAACTGAATCCCACCTGTTGGATTGGGATCCTTTAAAAGACACCTGTGCCCTCCTCTCCTGCCTCAAAGGTAAGATTGCACCCTGCCACACACACTTAGGTAGGAGCACACTCCATTTACTGATATCAAAATCCTTCGGGATCGCTTAAACAGATTAAAAAAGAGTTGTCTGAATTGAAACAGCAGTTAATTGAACCTGGTTCTTCGGGGGGGTTAGGAAGAGGTGAGATCTTGCTGACGTTGGTGGATCTGAGCCACGCAGCAAACTTACATAGACTCAATAATCTTCGGAAAGGTCAATTAGGAGGTCAGAGTAATTTCCCGGAATAAATTATCAGGACCTCTCAAAACTCTAAACACTACGTAGTCTTAGCGGATGCATGTCAGTTTAAATCAATACAATTATTTTTTAAATTAATTAAATTATTTTCTGAATCAATAAAAGCATTTCAAATAAAATTTGGGGTCATGTCGTGACTTTGTTGAGAATGTGGCCTGAGGACTTTTTTAAGTAGAGACACTACATACTGATATACACCTGAACATCAGCAGGAGAGGACTCTTTAAAGTAGAGACACTACATACTGATATACACCTGAACATCAGCAGGAGAGGACTCTTTAAAGTAGAGACACTACATACTGATATACACCTGAACATCAGCAGGAGAGGACTCTTTAAAGTAGAGACACTACATACTGATATACACCTGAACATCAGCAGGAGAGGACTCTTTAAAGTAGAGACACTACATACTGATATACACCTGAACATCAGCAGGAGAGGACTCTTTAAAGTAGAGACACTACATACTGATATACACCTGAACATCAGCAGGAGAGGACTCTTTAAAGTAGAGACACTACATACTGATATACACCTGAACATCAGCAGGAGAGGACTCTTTAAAGTAGAGACACTACATACTGATATACACCTGAACATCAGCAGGAGAGGACTCTTTAAAGTAGAGACACTACATACTGATATACACCTGAACATCAGAGGAGAGGACTCTTTAAAGTAGAGACACTACATACTGATATACACCTGAACATCAGCAGGAGAGGACTCTTTAAAGTAGAGACACTACATACTGATATACACCTGAACATCAGCAGGAGAGGACTCTTTAAAGTAGAGACACTACATACTGATATACACCTGAACATCAGCAGGAGAGGACTCTTTGAAGTAGAGACACTACATACTGATATACACCTGAACATCAGCAGGAGAGGACTCTTTAAAGTAGAGACACTACATACTGATATACACCTGAACATCAGCAGGAGAGGACTCTTTAAAGTAGATACACTACATACTGATATACACCTGAACATCAGCAGGAGAGGACTCTTTAAAGTAGATACACTACATACTGATATACACCTGAACATCAGCAGGAGAGGACTCTTTAAAGTAGAGACACTACATACTGATATACACCTGAACATCAGCAGGAGAGGACTCTTTAAAGTAGAGACACTACATACTGATATACACCTGAACATCAGCAGGAGAGGACTCTTTAAAGTAGAGACACTACATACTGATATACACCTGAACATCAGCAGGAGAGGACTCTTTAAAGTAGAGACACTACATACTGATATACACCTGAACATCAGCAGGAGAGGACTCTTTAAAGTAGAGACACTACATACTGATATACACCTGAACATCAGCAGGAGAGGACTCTTTGAAAGTAGAGACACTACATACTGATATACACCTGAACATCAGCAGGAGAGGACTCTTTAAAGTAGAGACACTACATACTGATATACACCTGAACATCAGCAGGAGAGGACTCTTTAAAGTAGATACACTACATACTGATATACACCTGAACATCAGCAGGAGAGGACTCTTTAAAGTAGAGACACTACATACTGATATACACCTGAACATCAGCAGGAGAGGACTCTTTAAAGTAGACACTACATACTGATATACACCTGAACATCAGCAGGAGAGGACTCTTTAAAGTAGAGACACTACATACTGATATACACCTGAACATCAGCAGGAGAGGACTCTTTAAAGTAGAGACACTACATACTGATATACACCTGAACATCAGCAGGAGAGGACTCTTTAAAGTAGAGACACTACATACTGATATACACCTGAACATCAGCAGGAGAGGACTCTTTAAAGTAGAGACACTACATACTGATATACACCTGAACATCAGCAGGAGAGGACTCTTTAAAGTAGAGACACTACATACTGATATACACCTGAACATCAGCAGGAGAGGACTCTTTAAAGTAGAGACACTACATACTGATATACACCTGAACATCAGCAGGAGAGGACTCTTTAAAGTAGAGACACTACATACTGATATACACCTGAACATCAGCAGGAGAGGACTCTTTAAAGTAGAGACACTACATACTGATATACACCTGAACATCAGCAGGAGAGGACTCTTTAAAGTAGAGACACTACATACTGATACAACCTGAACATCAGCAGGAGAGGACTCTTTAAAGTAGAGACACTACATACTGATATACACCTGAACATCAGCAGGAGAGGACTCTTTAAAGTAGAGACACTACATACTGATACAACCTGAACATCAGCAGGAGAGGACTCTTTAAAGTAGAGACTCTACATACTGATATACACCTGAACATCAGCAGGAGAGGACTCTTTAAAGTAGAGACACTACATACTGATATACACCTGAACATCAGCAGGAGAGGACTCTTTAAAGTAGAGACACTACATACTGATATACACCTGAACATCAGCAGGAGAGGACTCTTTAAAGTAGAGACACTACATACTGATATACACATGAACATCAGCAGGAGAGGACTCTTTAAAGTAGAGACACTACATACTGATATACACCTGGACATCAGCAGGAGAGGACTCTTTAAAGTAGAGACACTACATACTGATATACACCTGCACATCAGCAGGAGAGGACTCTTTAAAGTAGAGACACTACATACTGATATACACCTGATCACCAGCAGGAGAGGACTCTTTAAAGTAGAGACACTACATACTGATATACACCTGAACATCAGCAGGAGAGGACTCTTTAAAGAGACACTACATACTGATATACAGCTGAACATGAGCAGGAGAGGACTCTTTAAAGTAGAGACACTACATACTGATATACACCTGAACATCAGCAGGAGAGGACTCTTTAAAGTAGAGACACTACTGATATACACCTTAACCCATATCTAAAATAAGAGTCTGTAAAATAAACCCCACAATGTTCAAGTTTATTTTCTCCTTAAATAAAAGTACAGCTTTAAAGTCCTTAAATAACCCAAATGACCCCCAGTGTAAGGGATAACAGTGATAGGAGTATATTGAGATGAAGTGAACACTGACCTGAGCTCTGGGGGTCTCTTTGTTCTCCTCCATGCTGCTCTCAGTGCTCCTTCTCCTGCTGGCTCTCTGAAATAAGTATTAACACTACAGTCACCACAAAACCAATCTACAGCTAAGAAGTAGCTTAGCAGCAGAGGTGGGAAGTACACTTACTCAAGTACTGTACTTAAATACAACTATCGAGGTACTTGTACTTTACCTGAGTATTTACATTGTATGCTACTTCTACTCCACTACAGTTCAGAGGTACATGGTGTACTTCTACTCCTCTACAGTTCAGAGGTACATGGTGTACTTCTACTCCTCTACAGTTCAGAGGTACATGGTGTACTTCTACTCCTCTACAGTTCAGAGGTACGTGGTGTACTTCTACTCCACTACAGTTCAGAGGTACATGGTGTACTTCTACTCCACTACAGTTCAGATGTACATGGTGTACTTCTACTCCTCTACAGTTCAGAGGTACATGGTGTACTTCTACTCCACTCCAGTTCAGAGGTACATGGTGTACTTCTACTCCTCTACAGTTCAGAGGTACATGGTGTACTTCTACTCCACTACAGTTCAGAGGTACATGGTGTACTTCTACTCTACAGTTCAGAGGTACATGGTGTACTTCTACTCCACTACAGTTCAGAGGTACATGGTGTACTTCTACTCCACTACAGTTCAGAGGTACATGGTGTACTTCTACTCTACAGTTCAGAGGTACATGGTGTTCTTCTTCTCCACTACAGTTCAGAGGTACATGGTGTACTTCTACTCCTCTACAGTTCAGAGGTACATGGTGTTCTTCTTCTCCACTACAGTTCAGAGGTACATGGTGTACTTCTACTCCTCTACAGTTCAGAGGTACATGGTGTACTTCTACTCTACAGTTCAGAGGTACATGGTGTACTTCTACTCCACTACAGTTCAGAGGTACATGGTGTACTTCTACTCCACTACAGTTCAGAGGTACATGGTGTACTTCTACTCCACTACAGTTCAGAGGTACATGGTGTTCTTCTTCTCCACTACAGTTCAGAGGTACATGGTGTACTTCTACTCCACTACAGTTCAGAGGTACATTGTGTACTTCTACTCCACTACAGTTCAGAGGTACATGGTGTACTTCTACTCCACTACAGTTCAGATGTACATGGTGTACTTCTACTCCACTACAGTTCAGAGGTACATGGTGTACTTCTACTGCACTACAGTTCAGAGGTACATGGTGTACTTCTACTCCACTACAGTTCAGAGGTACATGGTGTACTTCTACTCCACTACAGTTCAGAGGTACATGGTGTACTTCTACTCCACTACAGTTCAGATGTACATGGTGTACTTCTACTCCTCTACAGTTCAGAGGTACATTGTGTACTTCTACTCCACTACAGTTCAGATGTACATGGTGTACTTCTACTCCTCTACAGTTCAGAGGTACATGGTGTACTTCTACTCCTCTACAGTTCAGAGGTACATGGTGTACTTCTACTCCTCTACAGTTCAGAGGTACATGGTGTACTTCTACTCCACTACAGTTCAGAGGTACATGGTGTACTTCTACTCCTCTACAGTTCAGAGGTACATGGTGTACTTCTACTCCACTACAGTTCAGAGGTACATGTTGTACTTCTACTCCACTACAGTTCAGATGTACATGGTGTACTTCTACTCCACTACAGTTCAGAGGTACATGGTGTACTTCTACTCCACTACAGTTCAGAGGTACATGGTGTACTTCTACTCACTACAGTTCAGAGGTACATGGTGTACTTCTACTCCTCTACAGTTCAGAGGTACATGGTGTACTTCTACTCACTACAGTTCAGAGGTACATGGTGTACTTCTACTCCTCTACAGTTCAGAAGTACATGGTGTACTTCTACTGCACTACAGTTCAGAGGTACATGGTGTACTTCTACTCCTCTACAGTTCAGAGGTACATGGTGTACTTCTACTCCTCTACAGTTCAGAGGTACATGGTGTACTTCTACTCACTACAGTTCAGAGGTACATGGTGTACTTCTACTCCTCTACAGTTCAGAGGTGCATGGTGTACTTCTACTCCACTGCAGTTCAGAGGTACATGGTGTACTTCTACTCCTCTACAGTTCAGAGGTACATGGTGTACTTCTACTCCTCTACAGTTCAGAGGTACATGGTGTGCTTCTACTCCACTGCAGTTCAGAGGTACATGGTGTACTTCTACTCCTCTACAGTTCAGAGGTACATGGTGTACTTCTACTGCACTACAGTTCAGAGGTACATGGTGTACTTCTACTCCTCTACAGTTCAGAGGTACATGGTGTACTTCTACTCCTCTACAGTTCAGAGGTACATGGTGTACTTCTACTCCTCTACAGTTCAGAGGTACATGGTGTACTTCTACTCCTCTACAGTTCAGAGGTGCATGGTGTACTTCTACTCCACTGCAGTTCAGAGGTACATGGTGTACTTCTACTCCTCTACAGTTCAGAGGTACATGGTGTACTTCTACTCCTCTACAGTTCAGAGGTACATGGTGTACTTCTACTCCTCTACAGTTCAGAGGTACATGGTGTACTTCTACTCCTCTACAGTTCAGAGGTACATGGTGTACTTCTACTCCTCTACAGTTCAGAGGTACATGGTGTACTTCTACTCCTCTACAGTTCAGAGGTACATGGTGTACTTCTACTCCACTACAGTTCAGAGGTACATGGTGTACTTCTACTCCTCTACAGTTCAGAGGTACATGGTGTACTTCTACTCCTCTACAGTTCAGAGGTACATGGTGTACTTCTACTCCTCTACAGTTCAGAGGTACATGGTGTACTTCTACTCCTCTACAGTTCAGAGGTGCATGGTGTACTTCTACTCCACTACAGTTCAGAGGTACATGGTGTACTTCTACTCCTCTACAGTTCAGAGGTACATGGTGTACTTCTACTGCACTACAGTTCAGAGGTACATGGTGTACTTCTACTCCTCTACAGTTCAGAGGTACATGGTGTACTTCTACTCCTCTACAGTTCAGAGGTGCATGGTGTACTTCTACTCCACTGCAGTTCAGAGGTACATGGTGTACTTCTACTCCTCTACAGTTCAGAGGTACATGGTGTACTTCTACTGCACTACAGTTCAGAGGTACATGGTGTACTTCTACTCACTACAGTTCAGAGGTACATGGTGTACTTCTACTCCTCTACAGTTCAGAGGTACATGGTGTACTTCTACTCCACTACAGTTCAGAGGTACATGGTGTACTTCTACTCCTCTACAGTTCAGAGGTACATGGTGTACTTCTACTCCTCTACAGTTCAGAGGTACATGGTGTACTTCTCCTCCTCTACAGTTCAGAGGTACATGGTGTACTTCTACTCCTCTACAGTTCAGAGGTACATGGTGTACTTCTACTCCACTACAGTTCAGAGGTACATGGTGTACTTCTACTCCACTACAGTTCAGAGGTACATGGTGTACTTCTACTCCTCTACAGTTCAGAGGTACATGGTGTACTTCTACTGCACTACAGTTCAGAGGTACATGGTGTACTTCTACTCCTCTACAGTTCAGAGGTACATGGTGTACTTCTACTCCTCTACAGTTCAGAGGTGCATGGTGTACTTCTACTCCACTGCAGTTCAGAGGTACATGGTGTACTTCTACTCCTCTACAGTTCAGAGGTACATGGTGTACTTCTACTGCACTACAGTTCAGAGGTACATGGTGTACTTCTACTCCTCTACAGTTCAGAGGTACATGGTGTACTTCTACTCCTCTACAGTTCAGAGGTACATGGTGTACTTCTACTCCTCTACAGTTCAGAGGTACATGGTGTACTTCTACTCCACTGCAGTTCAGAGGTACATGGTGTACTTCTACTGCACTACAGTTCAGAGGTACATGGTGTACTTCTACTCCTCTACAGTTCAGAGGTACATGGTGTACTTCTACTGCACTACAGTTCAGAGGTACATGGTGTACTTCTACTCCTCTACAGTTCAGAGGTACATGGTGTACTTCTACTGCACTACAGTTCAGAGGTACATGGTGTACTTCTACTCCTCTACAGTTCAGAGGTACATGGTGTACTTCTACTCCTCTACAGTTCAGAGGTACATGGTGTACTTCTACTCCACTACCTCTGTCACGATCTGTCTTTATGGTGTTTTGTCTTGTTTTGTTTCATGTTTTATTTTGAAAGGTCTTCACTTCCTGTCTTGCCTGTTTCTGTCTGCGTTGTGTCTTGTTTGGATCTGTCTGTGGTTCCCTGTCGTTAGTTTCCCTGGTGTGTCTGATTACCCGATTGTGTTCACCTGGTGTCCCTGTGTTTTCTCCTCCCTCCTCACCTGTGTCTTGTTTCTGTGATTAGTCGTGTGTGTATTTAAGTTCTGGTTTTTCTGTCTGTCTTTGTTGGTTCGTCTTTTGTCATGACTAGTTCGTCGGTGAGTGTTCTGTTCTGTCTGTTATCACCTAGCCTTGAAATAAAGGAACTTTCACTTTAATCTGCATTTGGGTCCTACCTGCTTCACACACCGTGACAACATGTATTTAATCCCTTCAGTTACTTCACAGATCTGGATGAATGATGTGAAATCTAATCAAGTGTTAAATCAGACTTTAGTTCCACCTGGAGTAAATCCACCAGCTACAAATGAAAGCCGTTTTTTATCCGATGGGAACATGTGGTTTTGTGACAGTTGTTCTAATAATGAACACATACACAATATAATAAGTAAGGCATTACAAAAATCAGTGGTTTTATACTTGAGGTATGAGTGTGATCTCAAATGACACAGACTACTACACTGAAAAAAGTGCAACAACTGTGTCATTTAATCAAAGTACATTTTTAAATTGGTCTAATTAAGAATCATGGTTTCCGTTTTTGACATGATTTTTTCCGTTTGCCCAGAAGCAAAACACATCCCTCCTGAAATAACTTAAAAACAATATTTAACCTAAATCGTTATTTTCACTTCAAAGCATGTCACATGACCACGTGACGTACAAAGCTGCAGCCGCCATTACACCGCGACCCGCTCTCTGTGAGAGAGTCTGACCCAAAAACACTTTTGAATAAGGTAAGGATTTGA